ATGTTAAGGAGGTCAGACAAGCAGTTGACCCAGGCTGCTAGAATTTGAGATGTCTTGCTGTCCTGGTGCATTGTAGCAGATGGACACCAGATGCAACTCTCCAGAACGACTTGTCATGTCCCTGCTGACTCTTGGGAAACTCATTACCATACTCTTTATTCAGCCAAGCCAGATTATGTTCCCTTCCTGGATGAGGATCTGAAAAATCTTCCCTCTAGGCCCCCTGTCATAATAACAGAATTCTAAAAGTTAACAACTCCACTAACAACTGGGGAAGACCCCTGGAGTCGACAGGATTCCTCCAGAGCAGATTAAAAACAATACAGATTGGTGGGCTCCAAAGCTGGCAGTCCTTCTCATATGTATTGATCAGTAAACATAGATCCAAAGTGACTGGGGACTTGCTATTTTCATTCTAATTCTAATATGCTAAAAAAGACATTAAGGATAGATCCCTGTACTTATTGCCCACTCAGCTTGTTTAATGTAGTGAATAGTGTGTTTGTGTGTTTTGTGTGTTCCTAGGTGAAACTTTCATGGGATTTTCTTGTAAAGATTTCTTCAGAGGAGGTCAGCACAGTTCTCCAGTCCCCAGATCCCTTGGCCTGGAGCACTTTTAAAAGGAAAGAAACCCCCCGACACGTCGGGAGGGGCTCTCTGTTACACCGGCCATTTTAAGAGGCCGACGCCGCAATTGGCTGGGCGGGCAGGAAGTTCCGCCCTTCCTGTTCTGCCCAGCCAATCAGGGGGATCTCATGAGATCCCCCAGCACACTGGGTAATCTCGCGAGGTCTTTGGATCTCATGAGATTGCCTGCGAGATTTGTGGGCTATATAGCCGTTGGCTGCCATGTGGCTGCAGCCATTTTTGCTGGGGCAGTCAAGCGACCTAACCCACCCACCCTTAATTAACAGCTGTTTACTTATTTACTCTCAGGCTTCGGCTGGTCACCTTCAGGGGCCGGGAGGGAATTTTCCCAGTTATTGTAGCCTGGGTTTTTTGCCCTCCCTGAGAATAATATAGTGTGGGTTTGCATAATAGCGGTATCTGGTGCTGTCATTGTTGGTTGTGAGTTACACTTGAGTGATTTGAAAGTTATCGCTTATCTTGTCACAATTTGGGGTCAGGGTCTTGGTCAATTATAATGTTGATATCTTATTTAGTTCTGGTGGGCAGGGACCCCCCCAAGGGATAATTCGGCTATTAGAACTTACCAAATTGGATTAATTAATGTGGATGATTGGTATACTTCATCAAGTTAACCAAACTCTCTATGATGTCATCAACCATGTTGATTGCGTCATAACTTGCTTACGTCATATGTTTAATTATGACATCATTTGCAGTATGGGGGGGATGGTTTGTTGAAATTGTGTAACTAATTTGAACAGGATGTTCTTGACATATGTTGTGATGGGCATGGCTTAATCTTGATTGATACTGAAGTTAAGTACAAGGACACATGTGTCAAGAACGAAATTATGGTCAATTGAGAAACTGTTATTGAAAGCTGTTTTAAGACCCTGTACAGATAAATAAAGTTGTGGCCAATTTATTATCCAAGAAAAGGTGTGCGGAGTCTTTTGTACCGGTGCAAGGAAACTTCAGATTAAGACATTTGGGACTCAGGAAGCAGCGAAATGGGAGGAGCATCTCCGGATTTGGTGCAAGCCATTTAATTGTCATATCCTGTTGCCCAACTATAATGAAAAAATCAACACCGAGAGTATTTTCATGTAGAAATAAGATGGAGATGGTTTACACACTCTACAACAAGGCATCCTAGCCATGATGAAGATGTAATCTTCACATCACACCATGCCATGCGTATGAGAAAGAGGGCAGGCAGGAGAGTTTCCTAAAGGCAAAGGAATGATCATCCATTCTTAAATTAAAGACACTTTCCTCCTAAATACATTCCAAGATTTAGGCTGCAATCCTATACCAACCTTCCTGGGAAGAATAAGCCCTAATGAACACAGTCAGACCTGCACCTGGATAAACATAAAGAGGACAACAAATTTTTTTTACCGTTTCTATTAACTGCATTAAAGGGGAAATGTTAAAAGTCTTCTAACTACTGTAGTATCATTTTGAAGAGGATGCTTTCCCCATCCCCTTATAATGCATTTGTTTCTTAAACTTTTATTGTATTCCATTCTTCCTTCAGATTACTCTAGGAAGCATACATGGTATTAGTTCCATTTAAACTTCACCAAGGATCCTAAGGAAACAGGGAGAATTCCTTGCAATTTGTAAACAGATTGACAGGAATCTGGGTGACAAAGAATAATAAACAATTAATGTCTGCTTTTATGTCTACTCTTCAGGAGTTCTCACTTCAACTGCCTGTTAAAGCCTTTCATGTAATTCCAGTTGTGGTTCTATGCATTTTTTAATATAGGAGTTCTGTCTATAGGGATTCAATATGAACATAAATAAACACACAACAGATGGCATCAATTTCAGATCCTCTCTTTAATGTAATTGAGAGTGGCATAATTTATTTTCAACCACTTATTATTTAGTAAACACAACACTTATGCAACATTTAATCAAAGCTGGCAAGGGAAATTAAAAAGCAAACGTGGGCTCAGAGAGTTAATTTTTGCAGAAAACACACCTTCAGTGTTGGAACCAGAATGGAGACACAATCATAGAATCATTCCAAAAAGCTGATATCAGCAATATCCAGCATGATTACTAAAATAATAAGCTGAAAGCAAACATGTTTCCTCTAAAGCAGGGACAGGCAACCTTTTTGAAACCTGGGCCAGTCTCCCGTAGCCCAGGTCTCGGCTGGGCCGAGGGGGGGGAATAGCGCACCCTCCTCCGCCGTGCGCGCCCCCCATGCACGCTGCCGCCATAGCACGCACGACCGCAGCCGCCACGGCGCATGTCATGGCCACCATTTTGTAAGTCCAAATCGCGGCCACGACGCGTTTGCGCATGCGCAAGAGTACTGTGCATGCACAAACGCGTCGTGACTGCCATTTTGACTTCCAAAATGGCGATTGCAGCGAGTGCGGCCACAGAGTGGCAAAAACGTGCCCCGACAGCGGTGCGCGGCGGCGGTGGCAACCTTCGGCCTGGGCCGGTAAGTCCGGGGCCCAGGGCCTTAATCGGCCCCTGGGCTGTAGGTTGCCGGTCCCTGCTCTAAAGGCTTTATTATGGAATAATAGATTATCATAATAAAAGCTGTTTAGCATTCACGTTCTTTTGGAAGAAACAGGAAGATAAGATTGGAGTGATACTTTTTTCAGAAGACTAATCAGCCACCATGGCTCAGGAACAGAAGGCCAGGGAACAGGGGCAGGGTGGGGCAGCTATGAGGCTAGGATACTCCGGGCTGCTTCTTAAGTAGACTCCTGATCCATGCAGACAAGGTCTTAGTCATGCCTGATATGTACCCTAGCAGGGTCAGAAGTGTCTGGCTTCAGGCACAGGTGGTGGAGTGGACCTGAGACCTATCTGAGCCAGGTGGTAGGATGGGGTGCTGCATGCATTCCAGCAAGGTGTGCAAGCTCATAGCCTGGTGGGGCCTGGAGGACATGGAGACCCAGAGGGGAAGCTTGTAAAGTCAGATTGCCTTTTAGGTTAGGCTTTGGCCTGGTCAGACCTGGTGACTGGGTCTGAGAAGGAACTTCTGGGCTGTGATAGCATTTGATGGTTCTCGTGCTTGTGAAGTGCTGTTCCTCAATTTAGACCTGATCCCCAGGGCAAAGAGGCTTTCCCCCCCCCCCTTTAATTTAAGTGACCCTTGTTTAAGCGATCACCCATGTCTCCACTCTTTACTTCTATATCAGTGTGCAATTGTGAATAGTCTTTTTGCAAAGAGAAATGCCTCTTTGCTTCCTTCAAGAAGGAAATGAGTGAAGAATTACATCTGTAGAAATATAATATATACCATTGTGGTAGGTCTGTGCCTAGATAATCTGTATGCCTATTCAGTCCAGGTACTGCTTAATGATCAGAAAATTCAAGGTCCCTGATCTCCTTTCTTCCCATACTTTACATTTAAACCAAACTTCAGTGTTTGATCAGAACACACTTTCAAATAAAAGACTATCTTCCAGCAGGCAAAGTGGTGCATGTGTCCACTTTATCAAGGTGCAAATCTTGAAGATTAGAAAATGCTGAAACCTAAACCAGCTCTTTAGCTGAGGTCCAAACAAGGAGCCCATCTGTGGATTCTGATTTTAAATAGAATTCATACAATTGCTGTTAACTATTTCATTATTTCTTTTAAAGTGTGTGTTGTGTGTTTGCTGTCTTTGCTTTCCTTAACATTCTTTACTAGTTAAATCACTGTTTGTATTGGTTTAAACAAAACATGAATAAAAAATCTTTGCAAGAAGGAAAAGAGAACATTGACCACATCTACTAGAAGGTTCATCTCAGGACTGTCCAGATTCCAGATGTGTGTATACATTTTGGCTAAACAGAGCTAGAAAGATGTCAGTTGAGAACTATATCATGCAGGGTAATCTACAGCCCATCAAATGAATGTGATAGAATACAGGGAGAACTGTTGCTTTTCATTTCCAGGATTATGCTGACAAAAAGTTGATGAATTTTGAGGAAGAGCATATGCAAACAGAGGCAACAAAGGAAGCAGGAAAGGAGCTACAGAATTGGGAAATGAAATACATACATGTGGGGAAAGTGTATAGCAAAGTCAGAGAATTCTATTGCACAAATTTAAATCATGTGTTCCATGAATGCTAGTGAAGACTTGATATTATATATTTCTCTCTCAGCTCAAACCAGACTTCACAACACTTTTGACAAATCAATCAGCAAATAAATGTTTACTGAACAGTCCATCTTGCCCTTCCTTATTACTGCTATGTTTTAGAAGAGCCTTCACCACCACAATTTCTAAAGACTCTCAACAGATAGATAGATAGATAGATAGATAGATAGATAGATAGATAGATAGATAGATAGATAGATAGGCAGGCAGGCAGGCAGGCAGGCAGGCAGGCAGGTTGGTGGGTGCCAGTGTAGAGTAGTGGTTTGAGCATTGGACTGACTCTGGAGACCAGGGTTCGATTCCCAGCTTGGCCATGAAGCCCACTGGCTGACCTTCAGCAAGCTGCATTCTCTCAGCCTCTTCAGGGGAGGACAATGGCAAACTTTCTCTGAACAAATCTTCCAAGAAAACCTCATAATAGGTTCACACTAGGGTCATCATAAATCGGAAACTACTTGAAGGCACACAACAACAACAACGACAACAACAGAGAAAAGGGGGAATTATATGGCAGGGAGGTTAACCACACAGAGAGCACATAAACACACAATGAGTAAATGAGTGATTAATAATCTTGCAAAGATTCAAGAAGCAGGTTTATAACCCACCTCAAGGGTAGGAAACTTTTGGTCTTCCCGATGTTTTCAATGACACCTCTCACAGTGCCTTACATTGGCTGTGCTGAGTAGAGATGTGGGGTGCTATTGGCTAAAATGTCTGGTAGGCCAAACATTTCAAAATGCTGGCCCAGTTCCCTTATGAATTCTGGGTTCAGATCTCTCTGCAGATGCTGACTCCATTAACCCTTACAAAAATGTGCAGTGGGGTCATTTTTCATGAGCTGTAGTGTCCAAAAAAGCAAGGTAGAGCTCTCCAAGACTAGTTCATAATTAGCCTGGGACCAAACATTTGTGTGTTTCTCCCCAGCCAAAGTTTAAGGATAAGGAAAGATTTATTCCATTCAGTAGAAGAAGTTTCGGTACCTTATCACTCTTGTCAGGGAACCTGTTCTAAAAGGAGAGCCAGGGAGCAAAGTCAACATAGCGATGTCACCAAAGTACATATAGGACGTTATCACACGTGGGCCAGAAAGTGATAATAAAGTGGA